AACTCCTAAAAAAAAAAAAACAAATTATTTATCCACCACTTAAATGCTAGGATTGCAAGTAAAGGTTGAGAAGCAACTTGTACATTGGATTAAAAAGTGAATAAAAAATGGAACTTACACTAACCACAATAAAAATCCAAATATTGTGGAACACTGCCGAAGAAAAATAGTAATATATATCAGGGAAGTTCCACCTATCACTTTCTGGGAGCCAAAAAACGAAAAAGAAAAGAGAAACGTTAAAACTGGTTTTAAAAAACGTTTTGCTATCGATTTTTATTATAAAATATTAATTATTAAATTAAGATAAAAATCTAATATTTGAAGAGAATCTTCCAACTAATAACTAATATTTTATTATTTAAATTACAAAATGCTGAACTTAAGCTATTAATAGCCACTTGCTGCCATAGAACGATGCAAGTAAATTTGAGAAGCAACTTGTACTTTGAATAAAGAATGTGGATCAAAAACGAATTCACCCTAACCATAATAAAAATCCGAATATTGTGTATTAGTAAAGTTGGAGCTATCGCTCTGTGGGGGTTGGCGGGGTAGGGGTGTGGAGGGGGAAGAGAAAAGAAAGGTTAAAGTTGTTAATAAATTATTTGCTGCCTGAAAATGATTTTGTCCTATTTTGCCAGTAATATTGATCCCTTTTATCTCTCAATCTTTTCAATTTGTGTTTTCTTTTCAAAAAATTAGTGTGAGTACATATATTTGGTGGGCAACTCCTCAAATGACAAACTATCCGGTCGACTACTAAATTGCTTTGCTGGGACTACAAGTAAAGATTGAGAGGCAATTTATACTTCAAATCAAAATTTGTGGACCATACATAAGGAATTTACCATACAAGTAATGTAAAACAAATGTTGTGAAATACATGTTGAAAAAGCAGTGGATATGGATTTTTTTTTTAAGTACATTTAATTATGAGTTATAAAAAAAATGATAATTTTTATTAAAAAAAATTCTTATAACTTAATTTAAAATTTAAATTTAAAATTTTTAATTTGAAATCTCGCCCTATTAAGGTAAAGTATTACTATGTCAGTGAGATTTATTCTTTTTAAGGAAAAAAAAAAAAGTTAAAGTTGTTAATCGAAGAATCTGCTTGTTGTCTTAATACAACATTGATCCCTTTTGTCTCTTAATCTTTTCGATTTGGGGTTTTTGAAAAAAGGAATTAGGTTCTGCCGAAAAAACGAATTAAGGTGTTTTTTAGTAAGTACAAATATCTGGGGACTGCGAAGAAGCATATTATGCTTTGAATAAAAATTACGGGAAAAAAAATATTATGGAACTCATGCTTAACAAAAGTAGTAACACAGTAGTAAAGTTCAAGCTATGAGCAATGCCAGGAACACTCGCCATTTGTACTCTCCAACCTACACTTCCATTTCATTGGGCCACGTTATGCTGGTTGGAGAGGTAATCATTTCATAGCTGAAGCAAGCTACATGGCCCAATAGAGTACGTGTTGGCTGGAGAGTGAAGGAGGCGAGTGCCCCTAGTACTACTATTAAGCTATATATCATTTTTCGGAAAAAGAGGAAAAGTAAAAGGCAAAAACCATTTTTAAGCCTCTAGACTTGCTCCGGATTAGCATTTAAGCCCTTAAACTAAAAATGATGCAATTAAGCCCTTTAACTTAGATGTAAAGCAAAAGTGCCGATACCTATATTATTGTGTTGACAATCTAAGTAGTTTTCAGTTTAAAAAACTTATATTTTTAATTTAATCTTTTTTTTTTGTACTTCCCTTTGCCTTAATTAATTTGGAATCAACTTGAGTCAAATCTCATAAGAAAAAAAATTCTTTTAATACTTATCTCTCTATTTATAATACTCAAATTTAAATCTTATTTTAAAAAAACTAAGTTCTTTTTATTTAAACTGAAAGGTTGTTGAGAATTTTGTCTACATTTTTACTAGAGTTTTTTTAAAATATGTCAAAATCTAGAGTTTAATTGTAAAATAATTACATATCTCATTTTCATTAATAAAATTTACAGATACCACATACATTATTCATGATTCATACATTCCAAAAAAAACAATATATGTGGTATCTTCAACTTTTATTAATGAAAATGAGATATATAATTATTATACAATGAAACTTCAGATTCTGATCTATTTTAAAAAAACCCTAGTAAAATAATAGAACAAAATTCCCAATGACCTTTATGTTTAAATAAAAAAAAAATTAGTTTTTCTTAAATAATGTTTTAAGTTTAAATCCTATAAATAGAGAAATAGGTACTTGAAGAGTTTTTTCCTTATTAGACTTGACTCGAGTCAATTCCAAATTAATTGGGGCAAAGAGAAGTACCAAAAAAATAGGATCAAATTAAAAATGCAAGTTTTCTAAACTGAAAACTACTTAGAGTGTCAACACAATAATATCGGTGTCGGCACTTTTGCTACAAATATAGGCTAAAGGGTGTGTTTGCACCAGTTGAGGAGTTGAGGGGCTTAATTGCATCATTTTTAGTTTAAGGGCTTAAATATTAATTTAAGATAAGCTTAGGGGCTTAAAAAAGATTTTTACCAAAGTAAAAATGAAAACTTAAAAGCTTTTAATAACTTGTCTGCTTGAAAACAAACTGTCTTCTTTTGCCGGTAAGAATAAGCATAATACCCAAATTTACCCCCAAAATATAATAATAGGAACAGATTCACCCTAAACAAAAAATAAGAACAAATCCACCATAAATTTTTGACTTGAATAAATCATCCCAAATTTAACGTGTGACATCGTCTAACATCGTCTAACATCGTCTAACATCAGTAATCCGTTAATTCGTTAATGGATTACTGACATCAGATGATGTCAAATTAACAGATTACTGATGTCATATGATATCACACATTAAATTTAGAGTGATTTGTCTAAATCGAAAACTTTATGAGTGGATTTGTTCCCCTTTTTTGTTCGAGAGTGAATCTGTCCCTGCCATTATACTTTGGAGGTGGATTTGGGTATTTTATCGTAACAATATTAGTCCCTTTTGTTTCTTAATCTTTACAATTTTTGTGTTCTTTTTAATAAAATGGCAATGCTATGTTAAAATGTTGCATAGGAGTGTAACTTCATAATTATGATGTTTAATTAAATTAATAAATACATAAAATATTATGAGTGGGAGTCATGGATGAATACAATATTACAGGTGAACTCCTATCTATAATCTTGTATACATCTACTCGTTTAACGTTTATATATGTATATATTGATGTTATTAAATTTTTGTTCAAAATTGTGCTGACATATTAAGAAATGGTTTGGAATAGAGTACCCCTTGTACTTCCATTAATATAATTGTTTAGTTTAATTGATAAAAAAAATATATCACAGGTAAACCCTAAATGAAAATAGCTAATTATATACTAATATATCATATTATAAGTTTAAAATGCTACATGATATTATAATTATATTATTTTTGTTAAAAAAAGGGGTTAAACCCCTAATTTAGACACTCAACTATTATACGAACTCCTGAGTTAGTCTCTAACCTAAAAAAGTCCTTGACTTAGTACTTAAATTTTTTAAATTTTGCTCTAAGTTGATCCCTTTATTAAAAACAAGTTGACATGTCCACTATTTGAAGGCAAAAAATTATTACTTAACAGCTACATATCATGTTAATAATAAAACACATCAGTTATTTTTTAATTGAAGGACTAACTCAGAGCCA